CTCAAATTAGCATGCTCAAATATGGGCCTCTCCAATATCAAAGGTTGCTTTATAAAGTTTAAGTACCCTAGGTTTAAACTGTGTTTAAATTAATGTCTTGATTTTCAGAGTTATAAAATTGAAGTGGGAAGTTAATAGAGATTATACCTAATATAAATAAACCTTATATTTATAGAAGTATATAGACAGAACCAAAAGATACCTAAGAGAACGCAGAGAGGAAGTATGTCATGTTTAGATGCAAAAATGAGGTCAAGATTCAAATAATTTTCTTATTCCACCAAGTAATTAGCTTTTTAAAAAGCTATTGTTTGAACTCAAAATTTTTTAATGACAATTACACTTTAAAATTTATAGAATTTACAAAACTTTCATGATTTTTTGTTCAATTTTTTGGGAAAATCAGCATAAGTATTAATGTTACTATTTTATAAGAATCTCAGTTGATGTGTTCAAGGACATAAAACATTCACCTGATGTGGTTGAAATGACAGCCTGGTTATTTAATTCCAAATGCAGCATTTTTTAGACTGTATGATTGCTTAATTATTTCTCTAATTCTGAAAATATGTATAAATACAAATATGTAAATACAAAACTATAATTAATCTTGGCTTTGATCATACATTACATGAACATACCCAACTGAACTTTTCCAAATTGATAAAGCATATTTCTGTAGATATTTTTAATTAAAAAGAAAAATCCAGTGGACATAGAATCACTAGCCATGTTAAATGTGGATTTGAATGTAGAAGCTTTGTCAAGTATTCTTATAATTTAACCTTTGTTTAATGGAAAACTTTAGATAGGGATTCTTTTATAAACTGTTATGCTGACACATCTTCAGTAATGTTATTTTCTTCAGCAACAATTTTAAATGTCTTGAATCATAAATCAGATAGCACCATTTTTTTTTAAAGTATCATGAAGCCTATAAAACCTTTCTTAAGGGAGTCATGAATCCAGATTGCAAATAGTCGCTTTCAGACTACTAGGTGAATTGATTTATTTTAAAATACCACTTTGTTCCATAGATTGCTCAATAACCTATGACATGAGTAACTACTCAATAAAAAATTGAGAGGAAGTTGAGTCATTTTGTTGTATGTGTTTAGAAAAAACTGCTAGATACATTTGTGATTCTTACACTTTCTACCTTTCTAAAAACCATAAAGTAACCAGGCTATTTTATGCATAAGAAATATTTTCTTATTTAATGTTTTAGTTCTTATTTGCAAAGAGATCTTTTAATCTTTTTTTCCATCATTTTAAGATTAACAGTTACTTGGAAAATTATATGCCTTTAATCAGTTAGGTTTTTATGTGTAAATCAAGGAAACAAGTAGAAAATGACTTCACAAGGGCCTTCATTATGCTAGACCTTAAGTTAAGAGCTCCTTGAACAACCAGAAATTAAGAAGAGCAATGAAGCCTCAAGCTATTTTAAACCTGATGCTGCACTTAGATGTATGTTCTTACCCGTGAGTCCTCGACACACCTGAACTCCATACTTCTGGTGTTTGAAGTGTAAAATATTATGTCAAATAAAATGAAAGCATTTTATGAGTCAAAAAAGTTAATCTTTTAAATTAATAAGAAAATTGCTGGAATAGGTGTATGAAAAACATTAATGTATATTCTTAGACATATTCTATAAAACATATGCAAATGTATTTTCCATTAATATTAATTTCTGATATTTTCACATTAATGATTATGTTAGGCTACTGACAATAAAAATACAAAAAAAAAAGTTAAACCAGATCCTAATTATTCACAGAAATTTTAGAGAATAATCTACAGAAACGGTACAGTATAATAAGCATCCAATTTCACTTTATATACTTTTTCTCTTCTTCAGATTCACTAAACTAAAAATGTAATTATAACACTATGATTTCTTGTGAAATATAGTCAGATTCAGAGAAAACTGCACCAAAAATTTATTCTTTCTCCTTTTAATATCCATTTTCCATGGTTACATCACCCTCATATTTTTTTTCTTTTTATTTTACTCATTTTATTATTCTTTCATAAAACCCCATAAGCCATACAATTAACTAATATTTATTGAGCATTTTCTCTGTCAGGCATCATATTGTATGCTTTTCATGTATTATCTCTTTGATATTCTCAGAAAAAAAAGGTAGGCAAAGTAATAATATAATTGCCATTTTTTAAGATGGGGAAAATGGAATAATCTTAGCATTTGCATGATGTAACCAAGAATACAAGGCTGTTAAGTAATAGAACTGGTATTTAAACCCAGGTCTATCTGAGGCTAGAACCCCTGCTTTTAACTATTCTATCATTCTGATTCTCAGTTCAGGAAAAGGTCCTAAGATGAAGTCAGCATTGCATTCTCCCTACTACATTTCAACTAGATCACAATGTCATGTTCAAAACAGAGCACAGATACAAGCAGACAATGAATGACATCAGAAAACTAAATGTATAAATAGACCTCTTTTTAAAACACACACACACACATACACACACATTCAGTACCATTAATAGAATAACTAATGTTTATTGAAGTTATTGAAATTATGGATTATAATTTTTATTTTCATATTAATATTATTTTATGTAGAAGTTAGAATTGACATGTTTTCTTTATATATTAATGTATTATATTAATTTTCACAAGACTTCTGTAGGGTTGAAGATGAGTCTTACTATTCTCATTTAATGAGGAGGCTATTCATTTTTGTTATAAAAAGAGATCTGGGAAATATCTCAAGTAGCACTCAAATTTGTGTATCTTAGCTTACAAAAATTGAGTTTACTTTTCATTATGTGATATTGAAAGGATGAAAAAAAGGAATACACATACCAAATATGTGAAGAACAATCTTACATGTTTTTAGTTTTGATTACTTAAAATTAATCCCCAGACTATTCTCATTCCTTTTTTATCTAGTTAAGATGAAATTTACCAAGAGATACTACTTATTTTATGAGTTTATTGAAAAATGTATATGTAGTTCTCAATGATTTTTTATGTAAATCATGGTATTTCCTTCTTTGGAGATTTCAAAATGATGATGAAACTCCATTTAATGTTGTTTAACCAATGTGTTAATAAATTTCATTTCATAATTTGTATGTATACTTTATATCGTGCCGTATATACACATGACCAAGGAGACCCATTTACAAAGACAAGTCATGTTTCAACCCCTGCTTGAAAGAGAAACATATTATTACCCTCCTCTGTAAAATACTTATTAGTTTATTATTTCATCATTTGAATTATAAGTGACATTATATTAACTTAACATTTTGAGTATTTGGTTTGGAGAAATTACTATTTTTACACATTTGTAAGAAATCAAATTATTACTAAAAGAGTTAGAACTACAGTGTCCAAAATCACTTCAAATAAATTTAAAATTATGGTATAACTTTGCAAACAGGTGTTAAATATGAGTGAACTAATATATTTTAATGTCTGGCACAAGTACATATAAATTGCTGAGCAAAGATTGATATGCTTTATTGGTAATATATATTACTCAAGAGTTTGTCTTATACTTCCACAGAAGAGGATTTTCATTATAATATAATGAAATAAATTCTCAAGTAGGTGAGAATAGAGTTAAGACTTATAAAAGTATCCATTTTTGCAAGACCAAGGTATTTAAATTTTTTAATGCTTCCACTTAAGTTTTGCTACATAAAATATGATTTATAAAATTTTTAATCAAATAACCTGTCATAAATATATGAACGTTAGATAAATTATTTTGATGTCACTCTAATATAGCACTGTTTCATAACAGAAATGTGGATACATATTTGAATTTTTGTTTGAATTTTAATGTGAGGTAATTTCCTAGCTTGTTACTAAATGAGTTGTATGTAAAGCGTTGACTGAGCCTCTATAATTTATATCTCATTTAAAGAGTTTTATTGGATCTACTTCCTGACCTTACTTAAGTTGGTAATTTAAATTCTATTACTTTGAAAACCAGCAATAAATATATGTTATAGCTGGAGTATAAGCTTCCATCCAAAGAAGAGAATATAGCAGATTCATGAATGTAGCTCTTAGGTACAACAGAATTTAGGAAGCTGTTCATTTGCATGTGTATGCTTTTAGGAAGTCAGTCTTTCTGCTTTGATGGGTGTTGCATTTCATATGACTCCCTGGTATGGTGTTGAAAGAGTAACTTTTACTTGTGGAGGAGAGACTCTTACAGTAAAAATCGGATTTGGTAGTAAAAGAATAAGTCAGTATAGGCATTGTGAGTTTGTTCATAGTTTTTCTCTCCTGTGGAGAATAAACTAGTTTAAGTTTTAGTTGTGATTCTACAAAGCATTTGTGAAATATTACTATTTACAACACACTTTTACTTAGAATGTTTCCTGAAATGTTTTAGTATTTTAATCAGAAAAGCATTTTATATGGTAAATAATGAAGCAGGAGTTTAAAAATGCATTTTTTGTCTTCTCCTGGGGTATATGAGTTTTAAAAAATCCTCATTTTATAAAATTTATGCGAGTGTCACCTTTAGAAAGAGCAATAATTAAAAAGTTCAGATATTAATAATTCCAATAAAACAACTTTTGTAAAAGTCATTTAAATTGCATATTAAATACTTTTAGAAGATTTAGAAAATTCTCCTACAAGGACTATATTTGAATGCAGTAATAAAATAACTAGGTTTTTTGTTTTTGTATTTCAAGCAACTGCATACCAGCTGTCTTTTGTAACTAAAAAACACGTTGGGGGAAAAAATAAATCTTTTCACAAAAACTTCTATTGGAAGTTGTAGATATTTTATGTAGTTCATAACTAAGTTCAAGAAAATATACTTTCTGTAATGCTTTTAGTGACAATTAGAATCAATGATTATGCTTTTGCTCTTTTTACAGAAACTCTCATGAGTAAATACATCACTGTGCCAAGATTTAACAAATTAATCTTATTTCAATGCCAGGCAATGATCATTCCTAAAATGTCTAATTATTGATATTCATCTTCTTTAAAGTCCCAAATATCTATCAGTGTGGAAGATTGGGAAGACACCAAAGACTCCAAAGAGCAAGGCCACCACCGAAGTAACCACCGCAACTCCACCTCCAGTGACCAGTCAGACCACCCCTTGCTGCGGAGAAAGAGCATGCAGTGGGCCCGGAGGCTAAGCAGAAAGGGTCCCAAGCACTCTGGTAAAACAGCTGAAAAAATAACCCAGCAGCGACTGAACCTCTACAGAAGGTCAGAAAGACAAGAGTTGGCTGAACTTGTGAAAAATAGAATGAAACACTTGGGTCTTTCTACAGTGGGATATGGTATGCTCTTTAAAACTATATGGACTTGTGATTTCTTGCCATTAATAGTTATCAAGTTGATTCTAATTTAGTAAAGAATTACATTTTTGTTTGACAGTTCAGTTCATGGGGACTAGTGACACATACCTAATTTCCTATGGAAAATGTAACTGATAATTAATGAAAGTAAAATGCTAAAAATCTTAGGTATTTATTAGGTTCACTGGGCATTATTCTGAACCCATTATATTACCTTGATTTTAATTTTTACAAAAATTCTGAGTCTACTCTGTTTCCATTTTAGAGGTTAAAAAAAATTAAGTAACTTGCTAATTCACTTGTTAATAGCACACATTTATATCTAAGTCTTTCTAGCTCGAAAGTTTTCCTCATACAACCACACACACATTTTCTCATGTCTCCTGAGGTAACATGAATAGGCAAGTGACTGTAGCAGTCATAGATGAATCATAATGTTCTTATGAATTGTGTTTAAAATTCTTGTGGTAACAGAAACAAAGTTTTCAAAATCTTTACTTTTTAAGCTTAAATAATGCTTTGTCTCATGTACTACAATTGGTCTTGATTGTTGGGTTTCTATGTTGATCTGTGATTATCAAACAGACCACATAGAAAAGCTTAAATAAATACTGCAGTGATAACTTCAAATATATCATTTATTACTGTGTGAAATTTATTTTAAAAGAAATTTGGTCAACTCAGAAAAATCCAATGATAAATAAGGCTTTTATTTACATATACCTTGGTTAAACCAGGAGCCAAGATATTGTCAATATCATTTATTAAAACTGCAACTTGAGACAGTGTTCATAGGGAGAAATTTTAATCCTTGAATTAGAGTTTAAGAGAAGTGGCCAATATTTATTTGAACAAAGAAAAAACCGTACTGAGCCATGTGTATTTTCATACCCTCATATCTGAACAGACTGGTGCTTCATTTTTACCCTTGAAGAAACTGAAGATCTGACTGAGGACACACAGTTGAAATGTGTTGGAGTTAGGATTCCATATTCAGTTGAAATTCATAATAATATTTCACTTATTTAAATGAAGTACAGATTTATCTGTGGTCAATAATTTTAATATAACCACATTTAGTGCCTTACATTAAGAAGTAAATGAAAAGAAAACAATAGTCCTCATATTAGAAATTCACTAATAGCTATTTGCCAATTTGATGAAATTAAGTATGATTAAATTTTTATAGGATAAAATCCTATATTTATGTATCAGCTAAGATTAAGCTACTTTTTCTTTCAATGAGAAGTTCTAGTAAATGATTGCTTGTCCAAGTTCCAGGTGTGTTTCAAGAGTAGTATTACCTCATGCTGGTCCTGTAAGCAGTGTGGCAGAAACAGTTTGATTCTTAGAGACATAAAAATGCATGACCTGAATGCAATAGGAGAATCATTAGGAAAAATATTACGCTTCTGCAAATGGAACTTTCAACAGGCACCTTGGACTTTTTAATCCTCTATAATTTATTTCTATTATAATTTGCTAATTTTATGCTCAATAATTCTTACAGAATGGAAGAGATTCTGTCCACATTTTTCTTTCTTTCGTCCTTACTCTCTCCCCTCCATCAGTCCATCATAGACACATTAATCAATTCTACACTCATGCACTAAACACCTGTAATTCGACAGTTGTTATAAAAACCGCATTGAGAATCTGACATATCATGGGCTTCTAGACTTTTCCACTTATTTGTAATTCACAATAATTTACCCATTTGACAGCCCATTGGATGGCTGACTCAGTATCTGTAACTGTTCTAAGCACTGGAATAGAACAATATATATTCTGACAAGACCTTGGCATTTATAAAGCTCATATTCTAATATCAGGCCAGAAAATTTCTTTCCTCTCTGGACCCATTTTCTCATCTGTGAAGCAAAAAGAATAATAATATCTTTATTTTAGTTTTGTTTTAAGGGACATGGGATAATGATAAACAAAAAGCTTAGCTCAGCTATGGCTTTCACCAACTAAAATAACTATACTGCATATTTGTTTAATTACTATATTTATGACTGAACTTTACACACAAAAGTAAGAGATTGGGGCCCACCTCCATAGAAAAAAAATGTTTTGCCTCTTTGGTGGCTTTGTTTTACCCACAAGACATAACATGACTTTGTTTAAGCAGGCCTGGCTGCTTGGCACAATTAAACAGATTACTTTGACTCAATGGATATAGGATGTTAAGGAGTGGAAAAGTGAAGAATCAAAAGAAAATTCTTTGGGCTCTAGTTGGAACCGCTGAGTGTGCAATAGTGATAGTGACAGAGATATATTTACAACATATATTTTGGACGGAAGATAATGCATTTAATTTGAGTGATAGAAAATTACTAATGGAGTGAATCTGTTAAAAATCTGGATTTTCTTTTTTTCGTTTGGTGTTCAAGACAGAGAAATACAATGTATACATATGCTACAGTTTGTATTCATGAGCATATAGATTTTAATTAAAGCTGTTAGGAGTAGATGAAATAACCCGCACGTTAAGGACTATTAGAGAATCTCAAACACCCACGTTTTTTTAAATGTTAAGGGAAAATGAGTCTAGAACTTATTTTCCCAAAAAAATATGCTGTAGTATAATAGTATACTATCAATTTGTTGTACATTTTGTTATGACTTTGATCTTTATGCCTTCAGAAGACCCTGTGGGACCTGGGTTTTCCAGAGCCATGTTTTAGACTGGATTCCTCTCAGCATAGATAACTTCATTTGTTTCCCAAAATGCTGCACAAATATAATTTTCTTTGTCTTCATGATGTAAAGAAATGTTCAAAATGCTCCACCATTTACTTTCTTGCTAACATTTCAGTGAATGACTTTACCTCTTTCTATCAGAAATCACTCAACTTCCTGTCAAAATATGTACAAGTTTACAGCATTTGAAAATATACATCTTTCTTGAATTTCCAAGTTTCTAAGCAAAGGGACTGTTCCTTTTCCTTTATTTTCAATTTTTTTCACTAATGATACAAGAGGGAACCTCTTTAAACTGCCTCTGGAATTTTTTGTCAGGATATTAATCACCTTTGATAGATTTTTTTTTCTTTCTAAATGACTAAATGCTTCTACCCAGAATAAGTCAACTCTCCAAGAATCTTCAGTTTCTTTCAGTAGGAAGTAATACTTTGACACAATAATCAAAATTTAGAGATGCTCATTTTTACTGGATTTGTCATTGTTTCCAATTTTCCTCAGTGGAGAGATTTAAAATTAGATTTTTTTGAGTGTGTGATGCTGAGTATTGAACCCAGGTTCTTGGGCATGCAAGGCAAGCACTCTACCAACTAAGCTATATTCCCATCCCCCTAAAATTCGATAGATAAGATTGATTGATTGATGTAAAATAGGTGTTCACACAGATATTACAATTAAATTCGGGGCTGCATGTGCAGTAAATGGGTTCATACATATATCTCTTTGTATCTTCCCAGCATATCTTTGGGATGTATTAAAAAAAGTGAGATTACCAAATTAAAGATTAAATGTATATATAATTTTGCTTCTTGCCAAAATTTTCTTCCTTGGGTATGTACCATCTTGCATTTCTACCAACAAAAATATGAGAGTTTCTGTTTGCTTAAAACCTTGTCAACAAAATATGAGGCTTTAGATGTTCTATCAATCTAATAGATAAAGAAAAGCATTGATATCTCAGTGTACCTTCTTATGATTGTGAAGTTGAATAGCTTTTCATGTGCTTAGGAACCATTTTCCATGAACTATTTATTTTCCTACCCAACTTTTATGGACATATTCTTTAGTATTTCTAGAGAGTACTTGCATATTAGGTATAATAATATTGTTTTATGTAAGTATAAAACATACATGTATGTGTGTATATATATATATATATATATATGTAATCTACATATATATATATATGTATATAAGGTAGAACTATATCTTTCAAACTTAGTCTTTCTTTTCTTCATTTAGTCTTTTTCAATATTATCAACATAATTGTCTATCATTTCCATTAGTACTTTATTGATTTTGAGTAACAGAGAATTTTCCTCTTTTCCAATTTAAAGAGGAAATGTCCCATTTCTTTCAGTAATTATTTGGTTCGCATTTTTTATAAGTAAATATCTGAGTGTTTCAAATTTATCTTGATATATAGATAAGAAAGTTAACACATTTTAATTTTTAACATTCTTGTCCATATTTAGTTATACACCATTTATTAAAACATTCTCCTCCAATGATTTTACCTCCTGCTTTTATCATATCCTGAATTTATACACAAATTGGGCTTATTTCTAAACTTCTCTTATGTCTATCTGCCTAGTCAGACAAAAGTGCTCACTGTTTTAAATGGCTTTATAGTATATTTTAATATCTGGTTCAGCAATAGGTATCTGCACTCTTCTTTTCAGTATTTCCTTAGTTTTTTTTTTTTGAATGTTTATTCTTCTAAATAAATATTATAATTAACTCTTTCCCTCTAGGTAAAAAGCAAATATGATTCTTGTCCTTTACTTTTGACTGTGTCTTCCTGACTTCTTCAAAAATGAACTCTAGTAGCTAATCCTACTCTTCACAATCCTCATTCTTTTTGCTTTTTCCTATTTTCACTTGTAAGCAAGCAAGAGTTTTTTCTCTTCTTAACAGAACCATGTGCATACAAATCTCTTTGTGCATGTACACATGCATGTTTGTGTACACAACATCCCCAGTGTTCACGTTTTCTCTTATTTTCTTTATTTTATCAAATGAAACACTCTTCTTGTCTTTACAGCATCACCTCACATTGACTCTTCATGCATTTCTTCTCTCCCCTTTTCAGAGAACTTTACAAAACGTAAATGATACTTACTTTTCTTGGCCAATCTATGGGACCATCTTTTCCTGGATCCTCTTTCTTGGTCTTCAACATTGTGAACAATGTACTTGCATGGGAATCACCTACAAAAATTTCAAACATATACAACAATGCTGCTCTGGAAGAGACATATTAGAAATTTAATTTT